ATATGGATTGAAATAAAATATAATATTATTTTGTCACAAGACAGATAAACAATATTGGCGCGATATTATAATTATATTATAACGTCTACTGTACGTTTTCTAAAAATGTCTCACTGTTGAGAACATTTATTTGTTTCCCCTCATATAGCTGCTATATAGGCTACTCGCCGAGAAGAGCGCAAAACTGTCTATGTCACATATCCGTGGACCGTGCTGAAGTGACAGGTTTGTTCTCGAGAATATATTGAAACGTTACTGTTGTTACTCGAGTTCGCATATGTGTATCACAAACAGTTCATCAACACAACAGCTGACTGAAGACGGTTTGACCTCGTTGGTTTTAGGATGAATGAGCGCTTCTGGTGCCCTCTGGCGGACTGTTTTAAACACAACACGCTCACGTTTATAATTATTGTTCTAATAGTAGAATATCCTAAAATATATAATTTTGAGAAGAAACCTGTTTCGATCATAGGCTGTAAAACTTTCTCTAGTTATGTTGCTACTGCGAGTTTTTTTTGCGGTTTGCCCACCGCCTGTTTAAATTTACCGGAAGTGATGTAGGCGATGACGTGTGATATACTTTACTGTTTCTTTTTAATAATAAAACAATATATTTCAAAGTGTATCCTAAAGGAGTGATTTGTATAACATTTTATTTCGATTTGTGTTTCAATAATCTTATTATCGAGTACTTAAAATATGATTTTGAACATCTGTTGTTCCATTGGCTGGTTGACGCGTGTGTTGCATCACGGGAAATTTTTCTGAAGTAAATAAAACAATACATTTTTGTTATTTCTACTGCTGTTAAAAGCTCGATAAACAGCTAAACTTTAATAGAAACGCGCGGACACATGAATTTTCATCTGATGCCGTTGACTTGTATGGAGTGACGTGTCTCTCACCGTCACCGAGACGCGTGTTTACTGAAGTCCGTATCCCTCAGATTCTGAATTAATACTCATACTTACCTGGCAGGGGAGATATCATGGTCATTATGGTGATTCTCCCAAGGCGAGACTTTGCCATTGCACGTACGGCTTAGTTGACCCTTGCGAATTCCCCACATGTGGGAATCTTGACTGCAAAGTTTATGATAGCGGGGGGACTGCGTTCGCGCTCTCCCCTAATTAAATGGTTAAAAAAAGAATAATCGTCATAATGGGCTATATGCACGCACAAATTCCGCATTTGACGTAAGGATGCTCGTCCATTTCCGGTTGTGTAGATTAAAGCGGAGGAAAACCGGAGAAAACGGGATTATGGCAGAGTCTTCAATATTTACTGTCCTCCCGTCTTTGAAACGAAACGTACATACGTTTAGGTGTAATTTTATATATAGTTATGTTTATTTAATATAATTTTAAAAAGAAGCATACACACAACGAGGGGTCTGTTGTATCTGTTTTTGTGACCAACGTTTCATTAGTATAACCATGGAGTATAAAATTCAATATAAATTCTCGGTATTGCATTGGACTCTATGATCGGCGGAAGTTATCGAGCATCCTTAATCCTTCACCGGAAATAACGCCGTGCATAGAGCCCATAATAAGATAAGATATCATGGTCATGATGGTAATTCTCCCAAGGCGAGACTTGGCCATTGCACTTTCAGCTTAGTTGACCCTTGCGAATTCCCAACATGTGGGAATCTTGACTGCAAAATTTATGATAGCGGGGGACTGCGTTCGCGCTCTCCCCTAATTAAATGGTTAAAAAAGAATAATCGTCATAATAATGTTCTTAACGGGCTTTATGCATAGCTGCACTACCTCCTGAACTTCAGCCACCTCCTTGTTTCCTGTCTGCCATTATTGGGCAAAATTGATTAATTCGGGTGTGTCTGATTATTGTTGCCGTGACTACTGAGGTCAAGCACACCTGAATTAATCAATGTGTCCAATAATGGCAGACAGGAAACAAGGAGCTGGCTGAAATTCAGGAAGTAGTGCAGCTGGGCATAAAGCCAATTAATTAGAATTACTTCCTTAGTTATAAATTATTAAATTTTATTAAAGATTAGTTCACATTTGAAAAAAACTTTTGCTGATAATTTACTCACCCCCATGTCATCCAAGATGTTCATGTCTTTCTTTCCCCATCCGAAAATAAATTAAGGTTTTTGATGAAAACATTCCAGGATTTTCTCCATATAATGGACTTCAATGGGAACCAAACGGTTCAAGGTCCAAAAGACAGTTAACAACAGTTTCAGATGCAGCTTCAAATGTCTTTAAACGACACCAGACGATGAATAAGGGTCTTATCATGCGAAACGATCGGTTATTTCAAAACTTATTACAAAAATGTAGACTTTATTAAATTATAGACCCATCTTTTGAATTGATATTGAATCTTAGCAAATCTTTTATAAATATAATAAATATTGCATCAATACAATCAACAACAATAACTTTAGCAGATTATTTAAAATACCTCAATTCGTGTCGCTTCTAGAAGGTCTGACGCTATAGACCCCTTTTCAGTTGGTAAACATGGTGACGGTTTTTTGTGGGCGGAGCTTAGGTGGAGGCAGAACGATCCCTCTGGCCGCTTCACTAACGCTAGTTAGCAAGGATTGGTAGCTTGTTTTTTAACAATGACTGGAGAAAATCCGATTTTATCTTAATGTGTAAGGTCACTCACCTAGTCTCCTACTGGACGCATCAGGAATAACAGGGGCGTAAAACTGCCGCCTCCAGGTCTGCCGCCTCCCCCTACTCCTTGAGTGCGGCATTCGGATTGTCAGAAAGTCTACAGTTTCTGTAGATTACCAATCATATTGTAGATCTCAACTGTAGACCACGCTCAGGTTCTGCAAGCACTAATTCAGAGGTGATTACGTCTAACAGTAACGAACGAACGCAAGCATCTTATTTATTGAATTCTTTGTTTCTGCGTGTACGATCGGCAAGAAAATGGATTAAACACAAAAGTGAGAAAAGGGTAAGTCATCATCTGTGTATTGTCCACATAAACCTGGCTAGTTTGGCTATCAATTTGTACCAGATTTCTGAAAATGGTGACAAATACTATTAATGTTTATTATTAATAGTCTACACTGACCTAAAGGATTATTAGGAACACCAAGTGTTTGACCACCTTTCGCCTTCAGAACTGCCTTGGTTCTACGTGGCATTGATTCAACAAGGTGCTGAAAGCATTCATTAGAAATGTTGGCCCATATTGATAGGATAGCATCTTGCAGTTGATGGAGATTTCACAACAAGTCCTTTTGGTATTGTGTTCCAGATACCTTATTCAAGAAAATAGGAGGATTACAATTTCTTCTTAGAGTGGACTTTAATGTTGACAAATGACTTATCATTGTCAGAGTTTCACAGACAAATACTCTTGTATTGGAAAAATTGGAAAATGTTGAATGTACTTCTCACCCCACACATCTGTACTCTGGAACAAAAGATATGTTCTGCACCGTAACAGATCTCTGTTCTTTGAAGACTGGTATGGGAGAAATATATGATCCATAGCTGACTGAATGGATATCAATGGCAATTTCTTAAATTATGAACAATTTTGCATCAAACATAATTTACAACCCTTAAAATAAATCAGACTTCACTAAATTACACAGAGCTCTACCCCAACAATTGTGATAATGAATGAACCTGAAAGGTTCCATATAGAACCTAAAGGGTTCTTAAAAATGGTTCTGTATAGAACCTTTTAGGGGTTCCAAAAACGTAGCGCATTCTATATAGAACCTTTTCTTCTAAGAGTGTACTAGACCTCAGTTAGTGGTTAGACCTGGTTTGGGTCAAAGGATTAAAAAATCCAGTACATTAAACTCTTCATAAATACTTTCACTTTTGACTTATAACTGACATTTTACAGCTACGGATACTTTATACGTTTACTTATTTAGAAATTTGATCTAATTAATTTACGATTACGTTAGTAAATCCTTGGTAAGAATATTAAGTTGCACTTCCTCCACCAGTGGCTAAAATTATTAGCATCACAATCAATTCAAGAATGCTAACAGGTAGATTTACGTGGGCTAACTATCAGTTTCTGCTTCTTCATTATATAGTGTGTGATTTATAAAATTTATAAAGTCTCTTTATATCTTATATCATAATAATGTATTACTGTTAAGCCTATTATGGATATTAAAATACACAGAACCATGTGTCCTGTATCATATCTACATGAATGGTCTTTGCAGCAAAAAACACCAATCAAAACCAGTTTGTTTTTCAGTGAGATATGATTCATCAAATGCGCTGACAGCTCATATCACCTGCCATGCAGATTACACTGAGTAGAGCGGATGACCGGTTTAAGATGGCGGCTCCACGGCTCGTCTGATAGGGCGTCTATCTATATGATGTCTATGTTGCTCCCAATGCTAGAGAGAAATGCTGATATCGTCACATTTGTAAAATTTGGTACAGAAGAATTTTTGACTATATGAAACAATGTTAACAGGATAGTCAACTATTTACTGTAGTTATTTTCTACTGATAATATGCAAGTACGGTGAGAATCTTTTGAGTTAACATTTTTAAAACACACCATGAACATACTAGAAGCGGTCTGCTGTAGGAAGGAAGGGAGGTGGAGCTCCAAAATGTATTCAATTAAATATTAAATTAAAGCTTATTAATAATAAAAGAAACAATTTCTTCAAGCCAGTTTTAATGTTACAATCATGATCGTTAGAGGCTGACAGCATAAACATAAAAAACATATTTTTGGCCAGAATAAGGAAACTTAGAAATACGATTGTGATGTAGCCTGGATGCCAGCCCGAACTCCACCCACAACATTTTTTGGTCGGGAAGTTCGGTCTGGACTCAATCCATTGAGGAGAAATTATGATCAGTCAAAAAATGATCGGGCCAATCGAATTGCCAGGGCGGGCTTTATACGATGATGGACAGATGATCTGCAGGGACGTAATCATCACGTTATCAAAGAGCGCTTAACTGGTTTCCCTCAGAGATGACTGCAGCTGGAGAATTGAGATATACGTAGATTCCGCTGTTGTGAAATAAATCGACAGCGCATTAATTTTAATAGTCAAACAGAAAACTGCAATCAAGGCATTTGTCGATCGGAAAGATATTTTTGCCATCCTTCCTACATGATTTGGCAAAAGTGTAACTTTCAGCTGGCTCCGATGGTCGCTAAGAAGATGTAATACGTAGATGTAGGACGCAATGAAAAGCCTGTGGTCGTTGTGGTTTCTCCTTTGGTCGCACTCATGGAGAAGTAAGTAAAAGAAGCAACACTCGTTATTTAACTTCTAAAAAAGAGTAAGTTCTGTAGTTGACAACTGTGAAATGCAAAGTAGTTGACTTACTGCGTTGCTCTGATTGGTTGTAGGTCTACCGACTATCCAATTGAGTGCAGAGGTTGTTTTTTTTTCCTGGTTCGGATACGACACGCCTCATAATCAAAGCCCAACGGAGCAGATTCAGACTCACATTCTGACTAGAATATGAGTTTGACGAAGTCAGGCTAATTGCGATGTTTTTTTTAATGGTAAAATACCGAGATGTTTAAATGTTAAAATACAGAGAGTTTTGTGTTTGTCTATAAAGTCCCCAAAAACATGAAAAAGTGTGTTTGTTTGTTTGTGTGTGTGTGTGTGTGATAAAGGCAGGAAATAGGTCATGCGGACACATGATTTCCAACAAAAAACAGTTTTTATTGTGACCAACCAATCAAAAAACATCACTATTAAAGAATACAAACTTAATCCAAAAGTAATGTAACAAATAATAGGTAGACAAATAAACTTCAACCTTCACCTCAGTAAAAGGAAAACTGAACAGAACAAAAACTGACCCCCGAGACAACAGACATTTATTTAAGATAAACCCTCTTAAACAAGACATGTTAAGGCCTGTTCACACCGGGACAAATTTCACGCGCGATATTCGCAGACGTTTAACGCCTTGTGACTAAACAAAGGGCACCAATGTGAGAGTGCACAATTTAAAAAAACAAAACAAAAAAAACCCGTCTCGGGTTCGTTTTTTTTAGTTTGGCGCGCAGCGTCAAAAACTATCCGACTAATGAGATTGTCGCTTTTGCTCACATGTCTGGAGGTTCTGAAGTTACAGTAAATCACAACTGGGGGGCGCTCAAACACAAAACGGTCTTGCCGAGAACACATTAATGACGGCGAAGAAGATACACGCCAAGTACTGTCGACTAGCCTGACTACGTCAGACTTCGTACTTCCGGTCTATTTCAGTTCGCTTCTCTACTCAGTCTGAGACATCTCAGTTTTCCTCCGGCCTGAAAACAGCTGGCCAATCAACAAACAGAGGGCGGGCTGACGCTAAGCACCGAGTTTAAGTTAGGGGAAATCGAAAACTACCGTGGTTATGGAGACACGGGATGCAATTAGCAAGTTGTGGAGAATATGCCCGGCATTTCCAAACAGAAGGCCAAAACAAGAAGAGTGTTTGGTAAACATATTGAATGGCGGTGATGTCGTGGCCCTACTCCCTACTGGTTTTGGTTAAAGTTTAGTCTATCGACTATTACCGATCGTCAGCGAGAAACTGGGCAAGTAAGTGGCCGGCAAGGCGATAGTTGTGATTGTGTCCACCTCGGATGTACTTATGGAGGATCTGGTTAAGGAGGCAGCAAAACTCGGTCAGCCATGTTCCCTCAGGTATTTCGCTTGATGGTGGTTTTCACGTCATACATGTGTTTACAGTGGAAGTTCGATGCGGCTCTAAGTTGAAAACACTTTTCAATTATGCCATTCCAGACTCTTTCTACAAAGTAAAGCGAAGAGTTTGGTATTACCAGGCTAAGCATCTGTCGGGAAGAAATAAGACGAGGTAGATATGAAGATGTATGTAGAACTGCTGGTCTCTTTTGTGTCTGAACATAAAGAACTATATGGCAAACGCGACAGCGACTACAAAGGTCTTGATAAAAGAGAACTGTTATGGAGTGGTATTGTAGAGCAAATGGGCGCCATATTATGCCAGGGAATGAATTTGCATGTTCACTCGGCTCATCGGCAGTGAAAATCGCTTGGGTGTGAACACAAAAAACATTGAAAAACGCTGGCGAATAACGCACACCGATATTTGTCCCGGTGTGTACAAGCCTTTATACTTACAATTCCTCTAATCAAAGTAAATATAGTAACAACCAAAACTGAATAATAATACAAAACAAGGTTACCCTTTATTTCGATAGTCACTTTAGACGTTCTACTAATTATAAGTAACTTTTCAACTACATGTCAAGTAACTCTCATTAGAGTATTAGTATATTATCGTAGACTGTTAGGTTATGGTTAGGTGTTAGGCTTTGGGTTTGGAGAATAAGTTTCCTTGTAGTTGCCAAGTTACTTACAGTCAGTTGAATGTCTGTTGGGGGACCAACAAAATAAAGTGTTAGCAGATATTAAGCTGACAGTCTACTAATACTCTAATGACAGTTAAGTTGACATGTAGTTGAAAAGTTACTTAGTAGAATGTCTAAAGTGGACTATCGAAATAAAGTGTTACCCAAAACAACAAATTTTGATGATATATTTATATAAATCAGTGTGTGAATTAATGTATAGTGAAACGTATGTGTTAATAAGGAATGTGTGCAAAGTTACATTAATGTGTGGCCTCAGGTTCGGCCATCACAATACAGAGCACAGATACCTCCCTGCCCAGTATCAACGTTTGGAGACCTGTTTTATTTATCGAGTTTGCCCAACACTTCGGAAATGTTTGTCACTGCTGTAAAATTAAAACACCTTTAAAGCAACACCAATAAACTTTCCCTCTGCGGTCACCCTACAGGTTAGAAGCAGAATTGTCCATTACCGCTGTCATAAATAATTTATCCTACCACAGCCTACTGTCGCATGTACGCTCGTTGTTAATCCAGCACCGGGTTTAGAATGAACGATGTCCACAGACAAGGTAAAAAAAGTTGCATGATTTCATGAAAGTATGATGTATTGCGACATCAGAAACAAAGAAAAACAAAACAATGACTATTGTAATGTTTGACATAAAGTCAAATTTGTAGTTTTCTTATGTCTCATTAGAACTACAGAAATTCAACCCGATCTGGCGATCTTACATAGCGTGGTTATAGCAGATATAGGACCGCAAAGGGAATCCAGATTTGCCTTTCACCCTGTTACGACTTGATGAACCACTGAAACGATTTTGGAAACATTATTTTGAGGTAAAAAATCTTACTTACAGTAAATTCCCCAATGCTAAATTAACACCGCTCGGTGTTCATATGGGAACGACCAGCAGCGTGTTAAAAGTAACACTGAGGCAGTGTTAGAGTTAATGAGATAATTAAGTGATTAATTGAGTGACGATTGTTTGACTATTGAAGACACCTGATAATAACAAGCAGAATCACGGAAGAAAAGAGAAACAAAAGAACTACAACTGACTTCCAGACACAGCCTTATGCTGCGTCCCAATTCACATACTATACGTCCTAGATAGTATTCGAAAACAGAATTAGTACGTTCCAAATCGTAGTATGTTGGAATGAGTGTTCCAAAGAGTCCCGGATGGTATTTCCGGTCAGAATCCGAAGTGCAGATCGATGCAGATTGGCTAATCTTGCCCACAACCCATTGCGCGCTGGACGAGGATTCGGTTAGAACTACAAACACAGTGAAAAGTGTTCAAAAACTACAGACATGGAGGACACGAGAGGCCGACGGTTATATAGAGAGGTTTAAATAAAGGGGTTTGAGTGATTAATTATCAGTATCTAACCTGACGAAAATGTATTTATTCAATGAATTTATTCAAAGCTAAAACATACCAAAAATTAATTTTTAAAGTGATCTATCCCTTTAATGATTATATGATTCACTTAATACGACTTGCTGCCACCTACTGGCAGGTTTAGTTTCATATATAATAGTATCATTTAATTTTTCTGTATCCAAAATGATATAATTAGAACATTAATCTCATTACATTATTTAGGCATTTGTACTTGCAGTGTATATTTGAAGAGGGATCTTCTTTTTTCATTTGAGATCCTGTCTGAATCTATGTGTTTTTCCCATGAATTATTGCGTATTTAATTAAAGTTTATATTAACTCTTTATATTAAAATGTATTGTCAGAGAATGTCTAATTGAAGAGAATTGGCACTGGCTGGTTACTTCCGGGTTCTGGACTGGCTGCAGTAACGCGTCTCTGTCCATGCGGGGGCGCTCGCGGTCGAGTGCAGAATGAATGGGAGTCAATGGGGTTTCACCCCCAGAAATCCACTTTTCTCAGGATGTCATTTTTTGTCAAGTAATTTGAAAGTTGCATTCAAAGGGGAGGGCTGAGATAATACACTGCATTTTTAAGTTCACTTATCTGTTCTAAAAATCCATTAAAAAATGTGATGACGTCACACAATAGCAGAATGCTAGCGTGTTCCAGCCAACAACAGCCTAACCTGTAAGAAATCAAAAGGACATAAGTACTCGTTCATTCGACTTTTGGCCTATAATCTATATTGAACTTGCGGAATCAACAATAAAATCTATGTTGATTTAACGACAAGCAGGTGAAAGAGACACATTTAGCCGTTTAGCCCCATAGACTCCCATTCATTCTGCACTCGCCCGCGATCACCTCCAGTGGAATTCTAATGGAACTGCAACCAGGATGATACACAACGGGGCTAATAGGAAGTGCCAAGGCTCTCCGTTAGACGGGCTCTGGTATTGTGTGATCTCAAGTACAAGACATCACTATGGAATCCAAAGCTTCCCAAGCACAGACAGAAAGACAATGATAGTGATTATGTAAAGAACTAAGAAGGTCACATCTATGATTCTTGCCACTCTGGTCAAGTACAGACACGTCTTCTGTCGTTGTTTTTGACGAGTTGCAGCCAAGATTTCAGTGAGGATTTGCTTCAGACTGTCGAGGGTATGAGTCTGTTCTTTATTCTGATCTATAACTGAGGCTGGAGGGTTCTGCGGGTCTCTTACACCGCCTGTGAGAAAAAAAAAGCCAAGTAAGTCCCTGGATGCTATTTTGTGTGGTCTGAACAATCTCATGTGTGGCTTTAGAGGGTTTTGTTTCATACACAATTACATGTTTTTACATGTGCTAATTTCAGATGCTATTTTCAGCCATCAAAACGCTTGTACTATTTTAGGGTCACAGGTTAATTTACTCAAAGATTAATTTTATTTGCTTCTCTTTGCAAAGTAACAAAACAAACAAATCTTACAATTAATTTAACTAATAAACCTTAACTTGTTAAGCAAAAGTATAAAATACAGAATGTGTCTACTCTTACCATCTTGGCCAGTAACAGTAGATGTTGTTTCCACTGATCCCCTGTTGGATGCTTTGACCTTCAGATAATTCACAAAGATGGTCTCCACAATGCTCATGCCAATGAGACAGAAAACCGCACAGCAGTAAATCCCTGTGAAAAACAGCACAGTATGACCATTGTAGAGATCCATACACTGATTCTTGATGTCTGTGTGTCAAAATAATACTCTAGAAATAATCCTTGTGTAAGCCTAAAAAGTGAAGAAATTCTTCATATTGTTTGATTATCACAACACTGCTGGGTCTTATGCTGTAGAATCATGTAATAATAAATAATAATTCATTACATTTATATAGCGCCTTTCTGGACACTCAAAGCGCTTTACATAGAGAGGGGAATCTCCTCAACCAACACCAGTGTGCAGCATCCACCTGCATTATGCGACGGCAGCCATATTGCGCCAGAACGCCCACCACACACCAGCTTACTGGTGGAGAGGAGACAGAGTGATGAAGCCAATTGGTATATATGGGGATGATTAGGAGGCCATGATGGACAGAGGCCACTGGGCAAACACCCCTACTCTTTCGAAAGACATCCTGGGATTTTTTGTGACCACAGAGAGTCAGGACCTCGGTTTAACGTCTCATCCGAAGGACGGTTCTTTTTTGACAGTATAGTGTCGCCGTCACTATACTGGGGCATTAGGACCCACACAGACCACAGGGTAAGCACCCCCTGCTGGCCTCACTAACACCTCTTCCAGCAGCAACCTGGCTTTCTCAGAAGGTCTCCCATCCAGGTACAAACCAGGCTCAGCCCTGCTTAGCTTCAGTAGGCAACCAGTCTTGGGCTACAGGGTGATATGGCTGCTAGATAACTAGCTAACTGTTGCTAGCTAACTGATAACTGTAGCTACTATTACTAGCTAACTGTAACTAGCTAACTGATAACTGTAGCTACTATTACTAGCTAACTGTAATGATAACTGTAGCTACTATTACTAGCTAACTGTAGCTAGCTAACTGATACCTGTAGCTACTATTACTAGCTAACTCTAGCTAACTGATAACTGTAGCTACTATTACTAGCTAACTGTAGCTAAATGATAACTGTAGCTACTATTACTAACTAACTGTAGCTAGCTAACTGATACCTGTAGGAACTATTACTAGCTAACTCTAGCTAACTGATAACTGTAGCTACTATTACTAGCTAACTGTAGCTAGCTAACTGATACCTTTAGGTACTATTACTAGCTAACTGTAACTAGCTAACTGATAACTGTAGCTACTATTACTAGCTAACTGTAACTAGCTAACTGATAACTGTACCCAGATAGCAAACTGACATTGAATCAACGTGGAAACATGACATCGAAACAACGTTGATCTGACATTGTTTTGCTCATCGAATTAACGTTGAACCAACGTCAGACGCGTCATTCTTTCAAAACTAACGGAAAATCAACTTGAAATCAACGTTGTTTCAACGTTATGACAGCAAACCAATTTTCGATTTTCATTTAGCTTTGAAGAATGCCGCGTCTGACGTTGGTTCAACGTTAATTCGATGAGCAAAATAATGCCAGATCAACGTTGTTTCGATGTCATGAGAGACGTCGTTTCCACGTTGATTCAATGTCAGTTTGCTGTCTGGGTAGCTACTATTACTAGCTAACTGATAATTGTAGCTACTATTATGTATTTTAGTTAAAGGGCACCTATTATGGAATTTTGAAAATTACCATTCATGTAGTGTGTAACATAGGTCTAGGTGAACGAAAACATCCTGCAAAGTTTTAAATATGAAAGTTCACCATATAGAAAGTTATTGTCTCTCAAAAGTCGACTCTGAGTCGCTCGATGGACGAACAATGCTTCTTCTCTATCTAGATTGACGTCAACTTGACAAGTTATTTGAATAAGATACGCCCACTCATTGCACGCGCAGACAACAGGGTATACGTGAAAACATCACGTCGACAACGAGACGCTGTGTTCTGAAGTGCGAATCAAAAGCGACCCTTTTTCACTGCCCATGGAGGAGCATTTGAAGACTAAGTGTCTACAGTTCATTTATACAACTATACCCCACAAGAATAGGTCGAACCTTGTGCTGTGTGTGTTTTTTTTTAATATGTGAAAATTATGCCCTTGTTATTGGAGTTGTTATAAAGAATAGAGCAATACCTTGTAGTATTGCAGTGCTTTATCAATATGTTTATGTGTTGGGCTAACGCAAATAACAACTGATTGGGTTATCTGATCAATTACCACAGTTTAGCGTCACGCAAAGGAGGGGTTTGGAAAAATTAGTCGTTGAACGAATCATTTGGGAGTCGGTGAGCAAATCCGGTAAAAATAAATGCATATTATAAGACAACAAAAGGTTTTTTCTTTTCATTGCATGCATGTAAAACTGTTGTTGGGGTCTCCCAAAACACTATTAGGAACATTTTAAATGCCATAATAGGTTTAGCAGTATGTTAAATCTTGGCCAAATTCTGACAGTAACACACCATTTTCCAGTGGTGGACCGTGAGGGCCTAAACACTATCAGAACCACTCACTTGCACTTTAATATGAATGAGTTTTTCCATGAATGAGTGTTAAATTATTCCCAATAGTCCACTCATTTCATAGCTTTTCTATTGGTTGCACTGCTTCCAGTAGTGTATGTTTATGTTAGAGTCTTTATCCATTCAAATTTCAGCCATCATGTTTTGCCAGGCTCAAATAATTCTTTAATAGATCAGATAATCAGTCAGATTTAATCGGCCAATCAGATTTTGAGTTGTCTGCAACGTTCTAAAAACGTTCTGGGAACATTACCACAAAGTTCTAATAATGTTTTCAGCGGGTAGTTTTATTTTGGTTGTCAGGATGTTGCTAAGCACCCTCAAGCTCAGATTAATTTTTTATTAGCACACATGTAAACGAGATTTTGCCGACAAAAGAAACACAGGCAGATTTCACACTCATACATATAATATGTTACATCAACTAAATCCATTAACATGATTTTTTTAAATCAGAAATTATTTCATTATGCTGTCATGTTTAATGCGTTGGATTGTTGTGTCCTTTCGCGATACGCATAGGTGAAGCTGACTCTTTGATTGCTCACTTTGTTTGCGTGTGTGCGTCCCGCTCAGGAAATACGTTAGAGACGGGGCTAGATAGCCAATAAATGAAAATGTCCATTCACCGGAATGAAAAGAGAGTCTCCGCAACGGCGATAGATTGAAACGCACTTCCGAGTGAAGACTGCGCGAGCCACATCAGGAGAACACTGTATCCATCAGTGTTGGGTAAGTTACTCTAAAAAAGTAATTAATTACTAGTTACTAATTACCTCTTCAACAGTGTAATTAGATTACTGCACTAATTACTCTCTCTAAAAAGTATTTAATTACTTTAAATTACTAATTACTTTCAAAATCCCATATCAATCTCAACCAGCTGAATAATACAAGGATAGACATGAATCTGTTTTAATTCTTTCAAATAAATACTATAAAATTGCATGAATTATCCTTAAACTGACCAGGGTGGAGAAGGTTACATTATAAAAATATACTTTTTAACATCAGACAACACATTTTGATGTTAAACCCACTATTGTTTTCTGTCTGATCTCATGACATTTCACACTTTTTTTCATACATATTTTACAATAATTCATATGAATTTGTACAGGTCGTACAAAAATGCATACGAATCGCTGTGAGATCGGATTACACACAGTATTTACCTCAATTACATCAGAAGTAACTGTAATTAAATTACTGATAAATGAAGAGTAATCCCTTACTTTACATTTTCAAGGGAAAAGTAATTAAATTACAGTAACTAATTACTTAGTAATTAGTTACACCCAACACTGGTATCCATGCAACTGACAGCAGCGGCATCAAGCGCTCAGCTTGATTTCAAAAACATCAAATTTAAGCGTCACATCTCTCATTTAAGAGCGAACTAAATGAATGCTCTGCTAGTTAACTGGAGATGTTTTATTTGTAGTAGGTACATCCGTGCCTCAATGTTTCCAAAAGTGGTTATATTAACTTCTTTATTCAACTGCAGAATAAAATACTTCATATACTTCTATAGGCCTACTTCACACATTTGCAATACTATTGATATTTGGGGAAAAAAAAGCACTCGGTGTGTGTAAAGGACAAAAACTCATACAGGGACATGGCTACTCGATCATGGATATCGCATATCATTTAACATAACAACAACATTGTCGTAGACAAGTATCGCTCGGCCCTCTTTTGAGCACCCCCATTATTTTAAAAATTGGGTTCTAGAACCGGGCCTGCAGCTCCTTGTTTCTTGTCTGCCATTATTGGCAAACTGATTAATCTAGGTGTGTCTGACCTCAGTAGTCACAACAACAATAATCAGACACACCTGGATTAATCAGTTTGTCCAATAATGGCAGACAGGAAACAAGGAGCTGGCTGAAGTTCAGGAAGTAGCACAGCTGTGCATAAAGCCTATTCAGACATAAGATAGAACTAATTAGTGAAATCATCTGAGTTAGATCATGGGTGGAAGAAACATATGGCAGGACTTTTACTCTCTCTCTGACCCCTGGATTACCCAGCCCTGAGTCAGGAGGAGGTTGATCTTGTCTCTGTTTCCCTCTGCTGGACAGGACATGGCGTGACAGGAGGCATCAACATTCATTTGACTTTAATAGTATTTAATACTGTTCTGCCTTAAAATATCAACTATTTGTCATTTAAAGAGAATACTCTAGGTCTAATGCATATTGTTGGATTGTTGTGACTTAATTTCAACTTCAACAAAAAAATGTAAGTCATATTAAATAATCAGGTTTGACTCACCAATCAGAGGGAGTTTTTGAGCCGTAGAGGGCAGTGTGTTACTAAGAATCAGCAGCATCACAGAAATAGACAGCAGTAAAGTCACTTTAAAGCTCAACTTGTCTCCTCCGCTTGTGTCAATGAAGAAGGAGGCCACATCCAGAATGAGGAAGAAAAATACCGGTACTATAATGTTTATGACATACAGTAGAGGTCTCCTTTTTATGTTAATCTGTCAGAGAGAGAGAGAGAGAGAGAGAGAGAGAGAGAGAGAGAGAGAGACATTATGTACTTTAACATTGGAAACACTAAGATAATATATAAATATCCTCCATAAATCATTGTTAAAAGGGACATAAGCAAGAAAACTGATAAAATATTATATTCAAGTAAAAGTACTATATATTTTAAACTTTACTTAAGGACACGTAAGAATACCGGTAAAGACTGTAAAAAGTAGATAATTTCAACCCTTTTGGTCAGGACTCCTGTATGTTTGCATATGTTAAAAAACCTCATGTTATTACTGTAGTTTCACCGTGATCGTAATGTAACACTTTTGACATAGGCCAGCCCTAATCAAATGATTTTTAAAACATCATTTTCACATTTTGGGCTTCTGCAATTTTTACTCACACACAGACATCAAGAATCGGCATATGAATCTCAAGATTCTTGATGTCTGTGTGTGAGTAAAAATCGCAGAAGCCCAAAATGTGAAAATGATGTTTTAAAGGGTCATGAAACCCCCCTCTTTCAGCTCAAGTCTAGCTCAAAATATTTTTGAAAAATGCAACTGAAATGGGCGTGGCTAGCTGTGAGAAGAAGGGAGGGAGTGGGTGTTGTATGACCATCACTGTCACTTTCCCATGCATTTTGACTGTCACTAAAAAGCAATGGTAAAACGTGAGGAAATGCTATATTTTTATATAGCTGGCAAAGTTAAAGTCTTATGAAGTACACTGACACTTTATTATCGTCCTTTCAAAACTAACTGAATGTCCTACTACGAATATTAGCCTACAGTAATCGTAATTCTAATTAAAACATATTAATGTAGGCTACATGTATATTTATAATGTCATTATAAAATATATAGTGGTTTATATAGACACTATAAATACATTTCAGAAAAAAATTATTAATTTTCCGCTTAAAAAAATCGTTCCGTCCATAGTCATAGACAGTAAAAGAAAGTGCATAGTCTATGCGCCCTCTGAACCCTCATAATAAATGACTTCTCATTTTACACACGCACACCTCTGAAGAGATAGAAAGTCCTCGGGATACCGCATTACTCGCAAGACGCAACTTGGATTAGTTGTCAACAAGGCGAAGTCCATCATTCTCCACTTGTCGCAGCTCTCTCGCGAAAATGTTCGCGGCACACACTATAGCCTAGTTTGGATCAGGTTTAGACGTGTCCGTGTTTGATGGCAAACCAACCGTCCAGAGCCAGAGTCTAGCCCTGGCAGCATCGCGGGGAACATATTCAACGCACTTGGACTTTGCACCATGAAAACAAATAGTTTGCGTCCCATGATTGCCTCATCTAACGTTACTACGCGATATCACAGTTTGTCATGTCTGTTGTTGGAAAGATCCACGTGGTGTCATGAATAATTAAGAGGCCGTGTCTTCTCATTGGATAACAACGATGAGTCATCAACGCACTGTGCAGTTGCACTGCCACGTCACCCGCTACGATGAAGATTTTAAACCCGGAAGACGAAAAAAGCGGAAAACTCAAATTTAACCATTTTAACCTTATTATTAAATCTAACAGATGCTAACATTGTCTTCAATGGTGTTCAACACACATACCTCTGTTATAATCTCAGAAAATTTGGTTTGGGGTTTCATGACCCTTCAAAAGTCATTTAATGTTCTGATAAAAATTTGCTGGATCTCTTGCTGTAGAATCACAACAATAAAACAAAATGAATAACATATCACCCGTATAAAAACGCACACACAATATTAGTGAGTTAAGCCACTACGTGATGATTACATTCATCAATCAGTTTATACTATCAGATTGCATTTTCTCTTGCTGTTTTCAACATAACAATCTGATACAACTGAGCAGAGAAAAACGTCTCGGTTACGTATGTAACGCTCGTTCCCTGAGTAGGGAACGGAGACGTTACGTCGGATGACGGAGAATGGGGGTTTCGCATAGAAAGCCAATCCTCTTCGAGTATTAAAAAATGAGCCAATGGCATGAAAATGTCATGGGTCTGCGGAATTTGCATAGCGTATCTTCGCCCCTACCTCGTGAGTATAAAAGGAGGAACCGGACGCAACCGCAGTATGTCTTCGCTGAGGACCTGAGACTGAACTCAGGCGTCTACCCAGCGGTACAGCGGAAGTGGTAGGGAGACGTAACGTCTCCATTCCCTACTCAGGGAACGAGGGTTACATACGTAACCGAGACGTTCCCTTTCATAGTCACTCCGAGTTACGTCGGATGACGGAGAATGTTGGTCCCCCGTGTAATCACGCCACCTTCACAGCTGTCTTCCAGTGCTCTGTGAAAGTCTGATCCCTTCTCGTGAACTTAGCACGGACGAGGAGTCCTGCTTAGCACAGGAATTCAAGGTACACTGGGGAGCATATCCTTGGGGAATATTCCACAGTATGCCTGCCCGTAGGGAGGACTGAAGAAAACCCATATGGTCCAACGGAACACATATGGAGGAACACTGGAGTCACCAACCCGTAGGGTGGCTAGAATCTTAACTCCAGGGATGGCAAGGTGGCTTGCCGAGGGAAGACACATGTTCATAGAGGCTTACAGTGGAGAATACACATGTGGAGGTTACTAGTAGGAACCATGCACACGGAGGCACCTAGCCGAAGCCCAAATACTTACCTTTAACTGCTTCATGAAATGCGGCAATAGCAGCCACAAAGACTTTCAGGAACTTTCTTGCAGGAAGGAAAGCACGACGCTGATCGAGCATCTCCGGGGGTCTTCTCGGCTAGAAGAGCACCAGTTGACGAAGAGGTTCCACTTCAATGCATAGACGTGCCTAGTGGATGCCTAGTGGCCAAGGCGTCTGTGCAGAGCGTGCCCTCGGTCAGAGAGTGAAACCGGGCGCAATGGGAGTCGTGGGAAGCGAACTGATCTATCTGTGCGTCCCCAAACTGGTCCCATATCAGCTGAACCGACTGGGGATGGAGTCGCCATTCGCCAGAGACTGGACGGAGCCGTGACAGTTCGTCGGCTGCCAGGTTCTGCTCTCCTGGAATGTAAATAGCACGAAGGGACCTCAGGTGCTTCTGACTCCATAATAGGAGGTGGCGTGCGAGTTGCGACATCCGACGTGAGCGTAGACCACCCTGACGGTTGATGTACGCTACTGTTGCGGTATTGTCTGAACAGACTAGTACGTGTTGACCCCTGAGCAGTGCTCGAAAGTGGTGCAGGGCAAGGCGTACTGCCAGCAACTCGTGCCAATTGATATGCATAAGGCCTGTCCAGGAACCCGCGGCTGCATGTCCATTGCACATGGCTCCCCAACCCGTGGCAGAGGCATCTGTGGAGACAACAACATGCCTGGAAACTCACTTGTAGAGGGACACTGGTCCGTAAAAAGCTGAGATTCGTCCACGGGAAGAAGGTCTGACGACAGGTCGGAGTTACTGGAATTCTGAGCGTACCGCGATGCCATGCCCACCTCGGGACTCGGTCGCGAAGCCACAGCTGAATCGGTCTCATATGAAGCAATCCGAGCGGTGTTGCCGCGGCTGCGGATGCCATATGCCCCAGGAGCCTCTGAAAAAGTTTCAGTGGGACCGCACTCTTGCTAGAGCCCTGCACGGGCCTAAAATCTAGGCCCTAGCCCGGCCCTGGCCCGAGACGTCCAGGCCCTAGCCCGGCCCGTGTCCGACAGCTCATCAGAATGATCAGCCCGAGTCCGACCCGAGCCCGTTATTTAAAAAAAAAAAAAAAAAAAAACACCTTACACAGCCTGCCCTGTTGCAGCAGTCATTTAAACAGATATGTTTTGTCCTCAATGGAAAAGTAGTTACCGTTTAGATTATTTTCATTTCTTTATAAAGTTAATTAAGACAAATGTTTCTTTTTATTTATTTTTTTATGACGACCAAGCACCCGACAGCGAGTTAAACATGTTTGATCCATTTATAGCCTCTCAAATCAACACTTTACTTGGCTACAATAAAATCCATAGATATAAAACAACTTAAACATATTCACACAGACAGTTAACGTTAGTTTAAACGTTTGTGAAACGTTTATTGTCATTTTTGAAAAGCTGAGGCAAACTGCTCCGCTGCTCGCAACAGCGCTCGCACAATACAATTTACAATACAATACAATACAATACAGAGAATGCAATCTAAACAAATCAAATAAATTACATTAAAAACAAACATGCAGGTTATCTTACCTCAAAAATCAAGTCTTCACGACAGAACATGGCCATTCGTATTTCCAAAAGTTTCCAACAGACTCATGAAACTAAAGTCCAATCAAACAAAAAACAACAAGACAACCTCCTAAACAATCTCTTACAGAGCATCGTGCAGAAAAAGCACTTTTTCCAGCTGCGCTGAAGTCACGCTCACTACTCCTGCTGCTGGCGGGACACTTAACAGAGAACGAGCCGGTCGCGCGGATCGCGTTGCCGGGAAACCTGTGTGCGCGTGTGCGTGCCGTGAGCAGACTGTCAGTCATATATGTCAGTATGATAGGTTATAAAACGTCTTTCTATGTTTGCTTTTCAATAGTCATCTTCTCATATTTTATTTTAAGTAATATCTAAAATAGGCTATAAAAAAAAAAGCCTAAAACAGGCCCGAGGCCCGGCCCGCGTGTGAACTATGACGTTAAAATTGGGGGGCTGAAATGCTGAAATGCGGGCTGAAATGCAGGCCTCTAACTCTTGCCCTCGAACTGTCGAAGACAAGTCAGCAGTGAGTGTGCGTTTGCTCGTGAGCTGCGCGGACATGGCATTTTGGCAGTCGGTGAAGAGTACGGTTCAAAACGCGTAGATCTAGGATCGGTCGTAACCCACCGGTTTTCTTGAGGACAATGAAGTAAGGGCTGTAAAACCCTGACCTCATCTCGGCTGGAGGGACAGTCTCGATTGCACCCTTCGCCAGCAGGGTAGCAATCTCCGCTCTCATGATCGGAGCATTGCCACCAACCACCATAAAGCGAACTCCCCGGAAGCGGGTAGGAGACCGTGCGAACTGAATCGCATAGCCGAGTCTGATAGTTCGGGCGACCCAGCGGGACAGGCCCGGGAGCTCTAACAAGTTCCCAGAAACCAATCCAGTGGGATCATCCGAGCCACAGACGCAGTTCAGATGCAGACAGTTCAACTCTTCGAGATGAGCATTCTTTCCAGTGTTGGTGTGATGGCGGTACCCAGCGATTCTGCATTGCCTGCGATCTGTGCAGTGGTCTGCCAGACTTTGTGTTTCTCCCTGGTCGCCTCAGCGCTGCAGAGTGAATTTCCTCCTCTCTTCTGAAAGAGCTGCACGTGGCACGTCTTTTTAAAGATGGTTCGCCCGTGTTCTTCTGGTTGCGGTTGATACCTGTCTTCCTCTGATGGGCACGAGTGCTGCTTTTTGTGTCTGAGCTTTGAGCACGCTAGAGCAGCGCTCGTGGATGACTCATGTTCCTTCTGTGGGAACATGACCATCGCAACACTAAGATCGAGACTCAATGATCTTACTGTGAGAGTCCCCGCATCTGCTACCCGATCTGCTTCCTCCTCGAGAGGGAGCTCTTCAGCTCGCGGATGGGGTGATGTGACGGTGTGGAACAAAAACCGATGCTTGTTCCTCGGTCCACACCCCCCTCAGTAGTGTTGCAACCCGTGAGTGCCGCAGTGATTCAGACGAGCGCTTCTTCGCCGGTGCCGTCTGTTTCATTCGGTGCTCCAGAGGAGGACGCGATGTCGATCGCGGCATCACAAGGTGGGCTAGACTCTTCGGGAAGTGAGGATGCGGCTGCGTTGCCTCCCTTGGGAGTGCCAGCGTTGCCCGTGTCTGATCCCGAGATGACGGCCATGCTGTCTCAGGCTGCCGTGAGCATTGGGTTAGAGTGGAACCCTCCACCCTGTACCGATTGCTCACGGATGGACGATTGGTTTTTGGGCAAGGCTGCCGCCTCACGGCCCCAGCCGACCCCAATCCCTTTCTTCCCCGAGATGCATGGGGAACTGACGAAGTCATGGAAGGCTCCTCTGACCTCCCGTGAACGCTCATCAGTCTCCCCCGCCTTTCCTCCCCTCGACGGCTCGGCCGCCCATGGGTACACTGGGATTCCCCTGGTGGAGCGCTCTGTTGCGATGCAACTGTGTCCTCAGAGCGCATCCTCCCGAGGTACTCCTAAGCACCCGTCCAAGGCCTGTAGGTTCTCGTCATCTATGGTGGCGAGATCCTATAGAGCTGCAGGACAGGCGGCCACTGCCCTGCACGCAATGAGCACCTTGCATGTTTTTCAGGCAAAGCTGCTCAGAGACATGCACGAGGGCGGGACTTAACCGGGGACGTTCAATGATCTGAGTGCTGCTACTGACTAAGGTGGTGGCACGCTCCCTGGGTCAGGTAATGGCCACTAACGTGGTCCAGGAGCGTCACCTCTGGCTCAACCTGGCTGATGTGCGAGACGCCAAGTGCACTCGTCTGCTTGGAGGCCTCTTCGCGGTCGAGGACTTTGCCCAGCAGTTCTCGACCGCTCAGAAACAGACTGAGGCTATCAAACACATCCTGCCCCGACGGCCAGCTGCTGCCTCCACCCAGCCGTCGGTACAGACGCCTCAGCCTGCTCGCCGCCGAGGGCGCCCACTTGTGGCTCCCCTCCCTCCCGCACGGCCACAGCAGCAGCCTTCACCCGGGCCGCGTCGTGGAGGAGGCTGCAGGAAGGCGCCACAGCCCCCTAAGGCCCCGCGCCCCGCTAAACGTCAGGCCAAGCAGCGTTCCTGAGACGGGCTGCTCAGTGTTGGCATCGATTCTTTCACAGGAGGTGGTAGCAGGCCCCCTCCCCGCTGCTCACCCACGGGTGGGTAGCACCCTGAGTTGGTTAAAGAAAGACTTGACACCATAACTGAGCACACAGAGCAAAATGAAAGTGTGTTACGCCCCCGTGCCTCGCCACTCTCATTCTCCTCTGTCTCTGAGGGCGCGAAAGGGAGCGTGTTTTGTCCCCGGACCACGCCGTTCCCTTCCCCTTCTATCGCCAGACCCCCGGCAGAGCAGACCCCCGTGGAACGCTGGTCCTTCCCTGGTCTCCTCTGTCGGGGAGCGGAGTTTGATTCTGCACCCGCGGGGGTAACTGTCTGCCGGTCTCTCCGCCCCGCTGCCCCTCCGGAGACATGCAACTGTGTCCTCAGAGCGCATCCTCCCGGGGTACTCCTCAGCACCCGTCCAAGGCCTGTAGGTTATCGTCATCTAAGTATCAATGGCTTGTGGAGTGAAGAGGCCTCCTGGCTCCGAAGCGAAAACATACTGTGGTTGCGTCCGCTTCCTCCTTTTATACTCACGAGGTGGGGCGGAGATACGCTATGCAAATTACGCAGACCCATGACATTTTCATGCCATTGGCTCGTTTTTTAATACTCAAAGAGGATTGGCTTTCTATGCGAAGCCCCCATTCTCCGTCATCTGACGTAACTCGGAGTGACTACGAAAGGAAACTAGTTTTAAAAAGTCAAGACCCCAACTAAAGCACACACTGATCACCATAATGGTAACATCAAACCAAACTATTATTTTAAATAAATAATCAACATTTTAACCTCTGTTTTCAATAAGAACTTCTGTAGACGTCTGACAATTAAAGTCAGCCTGGTTAGTAATAAGTGAAACTGGTAATGCTGTTTGTGGAGTTGTTTAATCAGATCTTCATGTATTTTATCTTCAGTTGATTTAGGGGGTTTTTACACTGGACTGGTTTGCTGTGGTCCGAGCCCGAGCGCGTTTGCTCCCGGCGCCCCCGCAGCATTGGTCTGGTTTCACACTCAACTTGATTCTATCAAACCCTGGTGCGTTTGAGTGCATCTTACGTCATCGCAAATGTGCACGGCACATGATAGAAAGCAGAACGTGGGTATATATATATATATATATATATTTTGCTGCTATTATGAGCAGTTGAGTGAACAATACAGGTTTACTGTGCGTGTGTCACATAAGGTGGACTTCTGCTGCTTGCAAACAGACTCTTTTGAGGAGACAATGGATTTCCAAATGACTTGTGTTGCTCTGATTCCACGCGCAATGCACGAATACACTGCAGGCTCGTAAGGTAGAGGTAAATCATCAACACTATCATCCCTTACAAATGTTTAATTTAAAGCTGCCGTCGGCAACTTTTTTTTAATCATATTCAGCGAATTTAACGGAATACATCACAATAAGCTAAAACGCATGCGCAGGATACTTTACTTCCTGATAAGAATTTTAAAGTTCTTATTTTGATTTCATTAAACAAATATAGAACATTTAAAATTTGATGGATTTAAATATTTTATTGGCTGAATTTTATGGATGTGTTTTCAAATGTATTTTTTTCTTTTCTTTTCTGAATCTTAGACTGCACATATCTTGATTTAAAAAGTTTTAAAGATAAAGAGCAAAATTCAAAACTTCTAAATTTCAAAACACACAAAAAAATGATACACAGAACATTCTGATGTACAGAAAGGAAGTGACAGGTCATTTCCAGGGAAGAGGGTCTCAGAAAAGTCGAACGGAGCATTTTGGCTGCACAGTCGTTTTCTGCTGCAAACGTGGTGGTGGCTCAAGAGAATCCGTGTATCATTTAATATTGAAAGTATAAAAATAAGAAAATAACCTATAAACTATACAATACTATAATTCCACACACACACAAAAACACATAAAAAAATTTATTTTATTACTTGAGCCCTAAACTTTTGGAAAATGGCAATACATGAATTGGTTAAAATGACAGTATTTATCAACTAGCTGTTCTTTTGTATTATTATTATTATTTATTTTTTTTGTTTTCTTTTTAATATTTAATATTGGCTTGGACTCCATACCATATGTTCTAGACTGTACCTGATATATCAGCTGATCCGATACAATCCACCTAGTGATGGTAGATCTAGAGTGAGTTATATCGATGAGGTCCCACTCTCCCTGGGCCTGAAAGAGCTCATGTGACACAAGGGTGATGGATTCTTGATCAGACATTGGATTAATTGTAATCTCTTGCTCTGTGGGAACAAACATTAAAATTGTATTTAATATTACAGTCAAATAGTTTAGAAGAATAAACTGTTATCTTGTGTTTGTTTGTCAAAACTGATTCATGTGTTTCAGACGTACTTGGATATAACGTAGACTGAAATGTTATTTTGCAGCTTTGGGAGTCGAAGGGAAACCTGTAGAGATCCATCTTACAGGCCGTGGTCAGAGATACAAAGTCAACTGAGGCTGTAAAGCCGGAACTGAACAACAACACATTTGGAAAATCCTTTGTTCCAAAATCTGTCTTGATGCTAAATGGATAAAAAATAAATTAACACTTATAGTAGACATGATGATTAAAGACAGCAGGTATTCAAATCGACTACTACTAATTAATCAGCAAACCAAGACCTTTTTCACATTTTGAGGGCATAAGCGTCACATAAGCTTCAAATATGTCATTTATTTTAAAAAAAATGGTGACAGCTGCGCTTTCAATAGTAAGTCATGTTTATTTTTAAGCTCTGTTTCCTCAGTAGAGTGTAGTAAAGAAGATACCAAGTGTTTGTCATTTTTAACCGTGGAACAGGACTGTTTTTTTTTTTTATCATTGGATTGAAGATTATAGGCTACTCACAAAACTGTATTTTCTGGAAGCTAACCCTAACCCTAAGGAATAAACAAAAAGGACACTTGGAGACTCGAAAAGGACACGATTAACAAATAATACACAGCAAAATCCCCAGTGTTAAATCAGCACTGCCCAGAGTACATATGGTCCCCCTCTATAGAGTGTTAAAGTAATACTGAATGATTCATTGTTAAAGTTAATGAGATAATTAATAAATAGATTAATGATATAAATAATTAATGAAAAAGTGATTAATAAAGATTGAGCATTAGTAAAGAACACATACTAACTTTAACAATAACGCCTGTTCCACACCGCAAGCGGCAGCGGCGCATGAGCAGCGCGTATTTTTTTCGGCGTGCATGTATGTTAATCAATGAGTGCGTTCACACCGCGAGCAGCAGCAGCGCGTGAGCGTCAAGCAGGAGCGTCGCGTGAGCAGCACAAAAAAGCGATGGTTTCGGCGGAGAGTCTATTTTTGCCGCGCTGCTGACGCTCCGTTAAAGTGAAAGCACACTTTTGATAGACAAAATAAAAAAGATTTCACACTAAAAGTGCTCAAAATGCACAGAGTATGCATGTGTGCTGTATTTTAAGAACTGGATTATGTCAAAAAAGAAATCGAAGATTGAAAAAAATAATTGTAGAAGATTTACTCATTTAAACTGGTTTTAATCATTCCGTTTAGGTGAAAGTATGGTTATGATTAGAAAATATATATAATGAGCCAAAAAATAGGTACTATTAGGACATATTTTCTAAGGAAAAGGTGTGGAATGAAATTGCTTCTGCTATTTCTGCAGGTGGTAAGTCAACAATTTTATTTCAAATATCTGCAAGTTAAATGCAGGCATATAATGAATAAAAACCGAAAAGTTGTCAGAGAACCCAATGTTTAAAGAACATTGTTTAAATCGTTCTTCTGTTGGTTTGTTGCTGCTGCTGTGACGCTGCACAAACGTTTCCAGTGTGAATACTCTTGCGCGTCTGCAGCTGCAGTGTATTTGCGCTGTTGCGCTGCTGCCGTAAGGGACTGTTAACATAACACCGGTTTCAAATAAAAACCTTTTTATGCGTTTTGGCCTTTCGTAGCCTATACACAATAATAAGGTTTTGGATGCCCCCAAAAAATCTAACTTTAGAAAATGGGTTTCAAAGTACAAGTTTTTAATTACACTTTAAAAACAATTAAAACATTGGGTCTCATTCATGAAACATTCGTAAATATACGAGTAAATATGTGAGTGATTTGCGTGTAAAGAGACCTTCCCGAAAACTCTTCTCCTGATTCACAAATACTTCGTAAACGTCAGATGTGATAGTGAAATGTGTGTGTTAATGAATTCCAATGAGTCGTAAATGGGACGCGCGTGCACGTTCATTCTCAATTACCATAAATCCCGCCCATTAAATCCGACTGACAACTATATGGGCATCGTATTATGGCATGAATGCGAATGAAAATTAAAAAAAGCAGAAATTGTTCATTGAAAACGCCACATTTTATTTTCATGCGTAGGCTAGTGGCGTACAGGTCCTATAACAACGGAAGCTTGGCAGCATATTACAGATGCAGTTAATGGAGTTCCCTATCGTAGTCACTTCGAGTTACGTCAGAAGTGACGGAGATTGGGGGTTTCGCATAGAAAGCCAATCCTCTTCGAGTATTAAAACACGAGCCAATGGCATGCAATGCCTTGGGGCTGCGGAAATTTGCATAGCGTACTCCGCCCTACTCCGTGAGTATAAAAGGAGGAAGTGAACGCAACCGCAGTATGTTTTCGCTTCGGAGCCAAGAGAACCTCTTCACTCCTGAAAGCACTGTTCAAGACTCTTCGAGACGAGCGTCCTCTTCAGTGTTGGTGTGACGGCGGTACCCAGCGAGATTCTGCATCGCCTGCGATCTGAGCAGTGGTCTGCCAGACTTTGCGCTTCTCCCTGGTCGCTTCAGCGCTGAAAGAGTGAATTTCCTCCTCTCATTGAAAGAGCTGCACGCGCACGTCTTTTTAAAGACGGTTCGCCCGTGCTCTTCTGGGTGTGATTGATTTCTGTCGTCATCTGATGGTCACGATCGCTGCTTTGTATGCCTGGGCATTTCAGCATGCAGCAGCAGCGTTCGTGGATGACTCATTTCCTTCTGTGGGAACATGACCATCTCTACACTGAGGTCGAGACTCAATGATCTCACTTGAGTGAGAGTCCCGGTCCCCCCCGCTCGATCGGTTTCCTCCATAGGGGGCCCGTCGACCCGGGGACCTGGTGATTTACGGTGATGGTGTGGGATAAGCCCCGACGATTCCTCGGGCCACACCTCCCGCCTCAGTGCGAGAGCCAGCGAGCGTTAGTTCGATTCAGTCGGTTGCTTCTTCGGTGGCACCGGCTGCTTCGGGCAGCGCTCCAGATGATGATGCGATGTCGATCACAGCATCACTAGGCGGGCTTGACTCCTCGGGAAGTGAGGATGCGGCCGCGTTGCCTCCCTCGGGAGCGTCAGCGCCGCCGTGTCTGATCCCGCGATGATGGCCGTGCTATCTCGGGCGTCCGTGAGCATCGGGTGGGGGTGGAACTCCGCCCCTCCCCGATCTCTCGCGGCTGAATAATTGGTTTTTGGGTAACGCTGCCGCCTTACGGCCACGGCCAACCCCAATTTCCTTTTTTTCCCCGAGTTGCATGCGGAACTGACACGCACTAAAAATAAATAAATAATAAAAAAAAAAAAAAAAAAAAAAAAGCGTGCTTAGTTCCCCGCCCTTCCTCCCCTCGGCGATGCGGCTGTCTGTGGGTACGCTGGGGCTCCCCCGGTCAACCGGCGGTTGCTCTCAGATGCCCCTCCAAAGCCTATGGGTTCTCGTCGTCTATGGCGGAGCGATTCTGTAGAGCGGCGGGACAGGCAGCCTCCGCCCTGCATATGATGAGCACCTACAAAGCTAGCTGCTCAGGAATGTGCACGAGGAGGTGACGGACCAAGCGAGCTGCGAGCCTGTCGCCTACCTTGTCCTTAAACGGGTCACGGAGGCGGTCGCTCGCTCCCTTGGTCAGGTGATGCCCGCCGCTGTGGTCCAGGAGCATCATAATGTTCGGCGGTGCGGTCCAGGACTTTGCCCAGCACTTCTCGACCGCCTAGGAGCAGACGAAGGCGGTTTCTCTGCCCCGACGGCCAGCTGCTGCCTCCAACCAGCCGTCGGCTCGGACGCCTCCGCCAGCTCGCCGCCGAGGACGCCCCCCTGCGGCTCCCTTCCCTCCCACGCGGCCCCAGCAGCAGCCTTCAGCCGGTTCGCGTCGCGGAGGAGGCCACAGGTAAGCGTCCCAAGGAAAGAGCCCCCCCTCAGGCCGCGTGCCCCGCTAGATGCCAGGCGATGCGATGTTCCTGAGGCGGGCCGCTCAGTGATAGTGTCATGGTTTTTCTCAGGAGGCGGTGGCAGGGCCCCTCCTTCCCCGGTGGAGGGCCGGTGGAGAATCTTTTGTTCTAGCTAGCTCCCTGAGCTGGTTGAGGAAAAGCTGACACTGTCATTGAGCACACAGACTGGAATGAGCGCGCACGACGTCCAGTGCGTCGCCCCGTTCATTCCTCTCTGTCTCGGAGGGCGCGGAAGGGTGCGTGTGTCGTCCCCGGGCTACGCCAATCCCTTCCCCCTCTGTCGCCAGACCCCCGGCAGAACAGACCCCCGTGGAACGCTCTGCCTTCCCTGGTCTCTTCTGTCGGGGAGCGGGTTTCGACGGTGCATCCGGACGGGGTAACTCCTGCACGCATGCCGGTCGACCCGCCTCGCTGCCCCTCCGGGGGGACGTCTGTGGTTCGCATGACCCCGTTGGCTCACTTCCTGGAAGCCTGGCTAGCGCTTCCCGGGGTTCCCGCTGGGTCATCAGAACGATCGGATTCGGCTACGCGATTCAGTTCGCACGGTCTCTTCCCCGCTTCAGGGGAGTTCGCTCCACGATGGTTGGTGGCAATGCCCCAGTCTTGAGAGCGGAGATTGCGACCCTGCTGGCGAAGGGTGCAATCGAGACGGTCCCTCCAGCCGAGGTGAGGTTCGGGCTTTACAGCCCCTACTTCATTGTCCCCAAGAAAGACCGGTGGGTTACGACCGATCCTGGACCTGCGCATTTTGAACCGTTCTCTCCATCGACTACCGTTCAAAATGCTCACGGCCAAACGCATTTTCGAATGTGTTCGGTATCAGGATTGGTTTGCAGCGATCGACCTGAAGGACGCGTACTTCCATGTCTCCATTCTCCCTCGACACAGACCGTTTCTTCGGTTTGCCTTCGAGGGCCAGGCATACCAGTACGCCGTTCTCCCATTCGGGTTAGCTCTGTCCCCTCGCGTCTTCACGAAGATCGTCGAGGCAGCCCTTGTTCCCCTTCGCGAACACGGGGTTCGCATCCTGAACTATCTCGACGACTGGCTGTTACTAGCACACTCTCGAGCTCAGGTTTGCGAACACAGAGACCTGGTGCTACGGCACCTAGCCCGTCTGGGCCTTCGGGTCAACCGGGAAAAGAGCAAACTTTGCCCCGTGCAGAGGATCTCTTTTCTCGGCATGGAGATAGACTCGGTCGCCATGTCCGCGCAGCTCACGAACGAGCGCGCGCACTCACTGCTGGCTTGTCTTCGACAGTTCGAGGGCAAGAGTGCGGTTCCACTGAAACTATTTCAGAGGCTCCTGGGGCATATGGCATCCGCGGCCGCGGCAACGCCGCTCGGTTTGCTTCATATGAGACCGCTTCAGCTGTGGCTTCGCGATCGAGTCCCGAGGTGGGCATGGCATCGCGGCTCGCTCCGAGTTCCAGTGACTCCGACGTGCCGCCGATCCTTCTTCCCGTGGTCGAACCTCAGCTTTTTACGGACAGGGTCCCTATTCAGCGAGTTTCCAGGCATCTCGTTGTCTCCACGGATGCGTCTACCACGGGTTGGGGTGCCATGTGCAATGGGCATGCAGCCGCCGGTTCCTGGACAGGAGCCCAGCGCCTCATGCACATCAATTGCCTCGAGCTGTTGGCAGTACGGCTCGCCCGGCACCGCTTCCGAGCGTGCTCTAGGGCCAGCATGTGCTTGTCCGCTCAGACAACACTACGGCAGTAGCGTACATCAACCACCAGGGGGGTCTACGCTCGCGCCGGTTGTCGCAGCTCGCCCGCCACCTCTTGATATGGAGTCAGAAGCACCTGAGGTCCCTTCGTGCAGTTACATTCCTGGAGACCGGAACCGGGCAGCCGCGAGCTGTCCCGGGCCCGTCCCATCTCCGGCGAATGGCGACTCCATCCCCAGTCGGTCCAGCTGATTTGGGACCAGTTCGGGGAGGCACAGTTAGACCTGTTCGCCTCTCGGGACTCGTCCCACTGCGCCCAGTTATTCTCTGACCCGCGGCTCTCTCGGCTCGGATGCGCTGGCGCACAGCTGGCCACGGGGCCCACGCAAGTGTGCGTTCCCCCAGTGAGCCTCCTTGCACGGGTGTTGTGCAAGATCAAGGAGGACGAGGAGCAGGTCTTGCTGGTAGCCCCCTACTGGCCCACCAAGACGTGGTTCTCCGAACTCTTGCTCCTCGCGACAGCACCTCCTTGGCCTATTCCTCTGAGACCGGACCTACTCTCTCAGAGACGGGGCACTCTGTGGCACCCTCGTCCCGATCTTGGAGGCTGCACGTGTGGCTCCAGGACGGGACGAGGCAGGTTTGAGTTCGCTGCCACCTGCGGTGGCGGCAACCATCACTTCCGCAAGAGCGTCGTCCACGTGACACCTTTATGCGTTGAAGTGAAACCTCTTCGTCAATTGGTGTTCTTCTCGCTGAGAAGACCCCCGGAGATGTTCGATCGGAGTCATGCTTCCTTCCTGCAAGAGGGGTTGGAGCGCAGGCTGTCGCCCTCCACCCTTTGGATTATGTCGCGGCCATTGCCGCGTCTCATGATGCAGTGAAAGGTAAGTCTATGGGAAGCATGACCTGGTCATCAGGTTCCTGAGGGGAGTGAGGGGGCTAAATCCGCCTCCCTCCCCTCCTGCCCTCTGGGGACCTCTCAGTAGACCTGGGTGCTCTGCAGAGGCCTCCCCTGGAGCCTTTGCAGTCGGTAGAGTTTTTGCCCTGTCCTATGTGACAGCACTCCTGATTGCATTGGTATCCATCAGGAGAGTAAGGGACCTGCACGCACTCTCTGTTGACGAAGTGTGCCTGGAGTTCGGGCCGGCTTACTCTCGTATTCCTGAGACCCCGGCCTGGATATATGCCCAAGGTTCCTACCACTCCCCTCCGGGACCTGGTGGTGAACCTGCAAGCGCTGCCCCTGGAGGAGGCAGACCCAGCCTTGGCACTGCTCTGTCCGGTACGTGCTCTCCGCACCTATGTCGACAGAACGCAGTGTTTCAGGACCTCAGACCAGCTCTTTGTCTGTCATGGGGGGAGCCAGAAGGGAAGGGCTCTCTCAAAGCAACGGCTGTCCCACTGGATGTGGATGCCATTGCTTTGTTTTACCAGCAGCAAGGCCTTCCGTGCCCCCTTGGTGTGACGGCCCATTCCACTCGGAGTGTAGCCTCCTCTTGGGCTTTAGCGCACGGCGCCTCGCTAACAGACATCTGCAGAGCTGCAGGCTGGGCGACACCCAACACCTTCGCCAGATTCTATAATCTGCGAATTGAGCCGGTATCCTCTCACGTACTCGTTTCGGCCAGTTCTGGATCCGCTCAGGTGTCTTCGCTTGCTCGCCACTCCACTCCCCGGACTGGATAAGTGCGATATTTCCTCAGTTCTTCCATTGAAGTCTTGAGTCCTCCAGCACCGACGATGCGGGCACCACTGCGTTGCTCTGGATGCTAGCTAGGTGCCTCCATGCGCACGGTTCCCCATGGTAACCGTCTCATGTGTATTATCCACTGTAAGCCTCTCTGAGCATGTGTCTTCCCTTGGCAAGCCATCTGCCACCCCTGGAGTTTAAATCAGTAGCCACCTGCGGTTGGTACTCCAGTGTTCCATATGCGTTCCTATGTGGCCATATGTGTATTCTTAAGTCCTCCCTTCGGTAGGCAGCTGGTAGCATGTCCCCTTCGGGATATGTTTCCCAGTGTACCTTGGTAATCCTGTGTCAAAGTCGGATCCCCAAAAAAAAAAAAAAAAAAAAAAGAGGTAAGGCTCGGGGGTTCAGTCTTTCGCAGGGCACTGGAAGACAGCTTGAAGATGGCGTGATGGCACAGACCCCCAATCTCCGTCACTTCTGACGTAACTCGAAGTGACTACGATAGGGAACGTCTCGGTTACGTATGTAACCCTCGTTCCCTGAGTAAGGGAACGGAGACGTTACGTCTCCCTGCCACTTCTGCTGTATCGCTGGGTAGAGGCCGAGTTCTGTCTTGGCTCCTCAGCGAAGACATACTGCGGTTGCGTTCACTTCCTCCTTTTATACTCACGGAGTAGGGCGGAGTACGCTATGCAAATTTCCGCAGCCCCAAGGCATTGCATGCCATTGGCTCGTGTTTTAATACTCGAAGAGGATTGGCTTTCTATGCGAAACCCCCAATCTCCGTCACTTCTGACGTAACGTCTCCGTTCCCTACTCAGGGAACGAGGGTTACATACGTAACCGAGACGTTTCATCTGTTAATCAAATAGTCCCATTCAAACAGACATCAGACAGCAAAAAACGAATTAGTTCACTTGGGAAAAATCTTATTCAAACTGGAGGACCTCCACCATCGCAGATGATACTGGCTCCCATAATACAAGTAAAAAGAAAAAAAACGTATGTAATTAGTAAACATAATATTTTTTCAAAATGCTGTGTGAATATGTACCCGATTAAGGTGAATTAAAATGCAGCTTTATTAATGAGCAAAACGTTCGGATGTTAAGCACACTATTTACGCGTGGCTGGGAGCAGGTGTAGATTTCTTTCGTACCAACTAACATTTGGAAAATACAAACATGTTAATGAATCCGGAAATTTACGCCAGAACCAATTTACACACGATTTACACAAAAATTCGTACTGCTCGTGTTTCATGAATGAGAACCATTTTTTTTAAAGATATAACAGCAACTAAAAGGATAAAAATAAAGAAGAGATAAGACCCCAACTAATTGAAACACTAATCACGGTGACTACAAATGAAACATAAACCTCTGTTAATTCTCAATAAAACTGTAGACATCTGACAGTCAATAAAGTCAGTCTGGTTCGTAATATGGGTGATGACAGTGGATAAGACACTTGCCTTTGGTGTGAGAGACCCGGGTTCGAATCCACTGTGAGACACCAATGTGTCCTTGAGCAAGACACTTAACCCCTAGTTGCTTCAGAGGCGTGCAAACTCTGACATATATAGCAATTGTAAGTCACTTTGGATAAAAGCCTCAGCTAAATGACTTAAAAGTATTAAGTGAAGCTGGTAATGCAGTTTGTAGAGTTCTTTAATCCTCCACTGCTGAGATCTTCACACATTTAATGTCTTCTTTTCTCTTCAGTTGATTTCATCTAAGGCTGTGTCTAAAGTCAGTTAGTTCTTATATTTCTGCTCGTCTCTTTTTCTATTCACTTCAGAGGTGTAAAGTCCAGGTTTACAAAGTAAAAGTCCTTCAGTATTTTGTTCCAATCACCTGGATTTGCTAATTGGCGGTTTTTATGCCAGGAGATCATCTGACTGAGGTCATGGGTGCAATAAGCATATGGCAGGACTTCTTCTTTCTGACCTCTGGACTTTCCACCTCTGGTCATTTGATCTGGGATGTAATTAGCAACGTAGGACGAATGGACCTGATCAGTTTTTCTGAATAATGCTGTATGTCACCGTTGTTGAGATTCACATAAGCATAAGCAATGCTGTAAAATCAACTATTCTCCCATACAATTGGAGATTGGTCACTAAATGATCTTAATCAATCAGGTCAGAACATGGTTAATTCATTATTTCAACTTGATGAACACCTAGAAAAAAAAATCAATGCTTATTTTTGTCATTTATTTTTTCTTGTGCCATAAATAAAGGGTTTTGTGAACATATATTTGAAGCAATCAGAAAATAATGTCAAGGTCAAGAGCCCAACTAAAATATCATGGAGTAACACCATAATGGTGACTCTTTCCTTCAGTGATTCTGCTTGTTATCATCAGGTGTCTTCATTAATAGTCAATCATCACTTCGTTAATCACTTCATTATCTCATTAACTTTAACACTGCTTTTAGTGCCATGTGTCAGGTTAATGAAAATATTCATGTGAATTAAAGAGACTATGCATGTGTCTCATTTCATTTCCAATTAATAAAGTATCTTCAGCTTTTATATTGTGACAGACAATAATTGATTACTGTCTGAATAAACAGATATAGATGATAATGTGGACAATCAATCCTAAAGATCTGATTTGACAAAAAAGCTCTTTTATGTGCAGTAAAACAATTTGAATCTGTAACTTTGTCGTTTCCATTTTTTCATACCATTACCCTTGTTCTGTCCATCATTTTGTAACCTCTATTATCTATCACTAAAAGGCAAAAACAACCGAAATAAAAGGTTCTGACAGAAGTAATTGGTGTACCTTTCCACTATACCAATATCTGGAGTCCAAAACACATTTTTGGGGGCAACAAATGTTCTAATTCCACAAAATTGTGTTTTATTCCAGGACAAATCCCAAATTGTCCATCCCTGGAAAAGATATAGTTATAGAGAAGGTCAGAGTGATTATAAGACAGATACTGTATGCTTGAAAATTAAATAAAACCTCTGATCATGTGACAGAATTCTGTAAATTAAGTAAAATGTAAGAAAAATAAGAATAAAATAGTTTTTTAAGACGCTTACTGTTAGTATCTTGACCTGTGTTGTGAGACTCTGGGCTTTTTCATCCTGTAGATAAAAGATGTGTTGAGAGATGATATTGCAACTGCTTGACATCCCATAATGACTTGAATGAGAAGATTAATCATGCTGGACACATACCACATTTATGATGGAGGTCACAAACAGTTCCACCCAAATCATAGCAGGTTTATAACTGTAGTATGAGTCATATTTGCTGAATATAAAGGGCCACATTTTGGTTTTCTGAGCGTCATTCTTGTCCATGCCGAGATTTTCAAATAGACGCTTTCTTGCTTCAGCATATTCAACATCACTGCAGTTTTGAGCATCTGTCACTTGAGCATCAAACACCCACCCTGTGCATAAGAGACATTCTGTAATACAGCAGAATATATTCTCCAAGCACGCAAATTATTAAGCTTTTAGTGGATTTTAAATTTACGTAGTCTACTTTATAAATGCCTACTGCAATATATTTAAAACAATTATGTATTTGTAATTTCTATATTTTCAAAAGTATACGCTATTTTGAAAAACATAAATTATTTTATGTTTTATGTAAAACGATATTTTTTTACATTCACAATGTACTAACTTATAATGTATAATAAATATTTGTCAACAATTATTAACCACTGCAATAAGCATACTTAAAATTAATATGTTGTTCTTGTTTACTTGTTTGTACTTGTACTGGCTGTTGTCCATTCTGCTTGTTATCATCAGGTGTCTTCAATGTTGGCAATAAAAAAAGAGGTCTTAATTCATCTTTGATATCAGTCTGTTTTTCCCGATATTTTTGTTTAAAAATGTGTAAACTGTACTAATTTTAAATGGTTAACTTTTAAGGAATTCATTTGGTTAATTATTACTCAATTCTAATTAAATGGTAAAATGGTAAATGGACTGCATTTATATAGCGCTTTCATAGACCTAATGGCCACCAAAGCGCTTTACATATTGCCTCACATTCACCCATTCACACACACATTCATACACCGACGGTAATTCGGTGCTATTTATTTAATAATTAAATAAATTCTAATTCTTGAATTTAATTAATAATATTGATTGTAATATGTTGCCTCAATTTTATTGATTAGATTTAACATATTCAGTCGTATTCATTTTTACAGTGATGAAATGTTTGTACTACTGAAATTCACACAAGGATTTTCAACCTCATAATATAACTGCGAGCAAATATGACGAGCCCAAGCCGTGGTTTGTTCATATATCTAGGGTAAGCTAACATACATGTGGTGTTGTCAGTCACGCTATACGTTACCCACTAGCCAGGATATGCATTACTAACTTGGCAAGAAATAACCTTTAAAATGTATTCAACGTTCTTCATAGATGAAATATTGAAATATAGCTGCAAGCAGCAATACCAGGGCCAAGCACAAAGACGACGACAAGACATGCCAACATGTGTCAGACCAATTGCAGCAAGGAGCAATTGAAGACATTTAAACATGAATTTAGGCAACATGGCTTAAATCATATACAGTAACTTATAAAATGATTTAATTGTTTATCACTTTCGAACAATAGGTGGCACAGTTATGGAATCGATACATTGTGATCAGAGTGAGATGACAATGACACATACAAAGTTTGGTGTCACGATGTGAAGGCATTGCAGAGATAAAGCCTAAATAGTAATTTTGGCAGCATGCCTCAATTTTGAAGCTGTGGTATCCAAAAACAGTTTTGTTTATCGTCACGCAATCCATAAATTTTACTCAACATGGTCTGGAGATGATTTGATTAGATTTTGGTGAAAATCGGACCAATGGTCTAGGAGAAGTTCGAAAACAAAGGTTTTTTTAAAAAAAAAATAAAAAATAAAGATGTTGGACAGATAGTTTGGCTGATTATGGCAAACCTGGTATCTATGTTTTCGGCATAACCCAAGGAATCTATCAAGATCAGTGTTATTACAATAGGCAAATTTATTCAAAAGTTATTAGCATTTTCGGAAATTAATTATAACTTTTGACCAACAGGTGGCGCTCAAAATCTTTTGAGTATCTTCAGGGCATGCTGCTTATGGGACACACTGAGTTCCGTAATGTTAGACCAATGCATTTGTTAAGCATAGCATTTAAATCACAAAACTGCTTTGAATTCAATGGGAATTTCAGGTTTTGTTTCAGGTTTTGCGCCACCAAGAGGCTCAGTCTAACTATTTTTTTATGTGTCCTCAGAGTGAGCCCATACATGTGTGTGCCAAATTTGTTGAAAATACCTCAATTTGCTTCGGAGTTATAGACCATTTCACAAGATGTAAACAACACTGGTCCAGAAGCACTTCCTGTTTCAGTTTGTAACTGTTTTCTTTATTTCACATGTAAAGAAAACATCTGAAAGATGTTTGTTTAACTTTTTGATTCAGTTTTAAATGTTCTGTTGGTTGTATTTTATCCCAGCTTTTATGTAGTGTTAAAAAACTGAAACAGGAAGTGCTTCTGGACCAGTGTTGTTTACATCTTGTGAAATGGTCTATAGACATTTATGTGAAAAAAAAAAACACGTAAAAAATGACTGACAAATGACTTTGATTGAGTTTTACTACCCCTTACTATCAATATTTTTGCATTTGGGCATTCATTTTCAACCAGCGACCTATGTTTCCAATTTTCTGACAGTGGTTTCGTCTCGATTGGACAAGCGGTTTCGAAGATATAGCCACATGTTTTTTTCCGCTCTAAATCGCAAAGCTACACAAACCGTAAGATGAAACCCAGCATGTTTGGTATCGTTGGACTCGGCAACAATTCAGAAACTCAAAAAGATGACTTATGTGAAAATAAATCAACCACACCTAAAGTTATAAACATTTGAATTTTTTTTTTAAAAATGTTTCGAAACTTCTCAGGCTCCTTCAGGGCATCGCACTGATGACCCATGCCGAGTTTCGTAACAATTCATTGATGTGTTCAGAAAATGCAGCATTTTAGCACATAATTCAAAATGGCTGACAGACAAAATGAACGATATGGGAAAATTGGATATCAGTCGACTTGGCATGACACCCTGAATCTAACAAGACCAATTTTTTTTGGACAAACTGTTCAGAAGTTATAAGCAAAAATAACTTTTTCATATCTCCGTACCAGTAGGTGGCGCTGCGCCGAAACGCTGCATGTTGCCTCAGGTCATTGTGATGACCATGCCAGCCTTCTTTCGCAAGCGCTATGTAAAATTTGTTCGTAGGTTTATCAAAAACGGTTAAGCGAATCAACTTGAATTTTATAACTTTTTGTCATCATGGTCTGTAAATTATCTGATTAAATTTTTGTGCAAATCGGACAAACCGTCAAGGATGAGTTCAAAAAAGTAGCTTTTTGGACAACTCAAGATGGCAGACATATTTTAATGACGGAAAATGACGTCATAGGGTGCAATAGAACCGTCATGAGCTCAGGAATCAGAGGAAAAAATAATTTTGGGGTTTGACTTTACGATTCAAAAGTTATTAGCAAAATAAAAGGTGGTGGCGCTGGAGGGAATCGAGTGGTCACCGCCCCCTGAGCAGGCTCCTAATCGACTCGACGACTGTTTTCTTCAGAGCCGTCGCTGCGCGGCGCCTGCTGCTCGGGCCGCACCCTTCCTGCCGGAACGCCACACAGAGCTCACGAAATCGTGGAACGCGCCACTCTCGGGCAGGACCCGGTCTTTTGATTCTACCTCTCTGTCTTCGTTGGACGGCGCCGCCGAGAAAGGCTACTCATCCATCCCCCCCGTCGAGGCCTCGGTTGCAGCACACCTTTGCCCGCCCTCCGTGAGAGGGCGGTCTAAGCCTGTGCTCCCGTCCAAGGCCTGCAGAACTACTTCCGCCTATGTAGGCCGCGCTAATGCCACCGCCGGCCAGGCCGCTTCAGCTCTGCATTCTATGGCCGTCCTGCAGATCCTCCAAGCAGATCTCCTTCGTGAGTGGGATGAGAAGGGCAGACTTCCTGATGCTGTTACTGATTTAAGGAGCGCGACGGATCTCTCTCTTCGCGCCACGAAATCTGCAGCTCAAGCCCCGGAAAGATGCATGGCCGCTTTAACTGTGACTGAGAGACATCTGTGTCTAACGGTAGCCGACATGGGAGAATCTGAATGCGCCACGTTTCTCAACGCGCCGCTCTCTCCGTCCGGTCTCTTTGCATCCGCTGTGAGTGGTATCGCCGACCGTTTCTCCGAGGTCCAGAAAGCCACACAAGCCATGAACCTCTTCCTACCTCGTCGCGCTAGCTCCTCTGCAGGTCACTCACGTGACCAGCCTCCTGCACAAGCCCCATCGCAGCGCCCAGCTCAGCACAGCCAGACTTTGCAGCTTTGTCAGGGCGGCCACCCTAGATCACGCTCAGACAGCCGCCGCAGGCACAGTAAGCGCGCTCACACACACTGTTCGGCCCGCTGTGTGCGACAAACAGAGCGATGTGGCCATTCACCTGCTAGCCTCACGCTTTAAAGCATGGAAAGCTATCCCAGGGATATCTATTTGCTACAGTTTGATCGCCGGCCTCCCCGCTTCCGAGCGTGGCTCGAAACCACTGTGAAGCAGCCAGTCTGCTCCGTTCAGAAATAGCAAACCTTTTGTGTAAAAGGGCCATAGAGAGAGTGCCGCCTTCTCTGAGCGAGTCAGGGTTTTACAGCTGTTATTTTCTTGTCCCCAAGAAAGACGGCGGCCTCAGACCGATCTTAGATCTCAGATTTTTGAACAAAGTGCTTGCGAGAAGGCCGTTCAAAATGCTTACAGTCAAGAAACTCCTTGCGCATGTGCGCCAGGGGGACTGGTTTATTTCTCTCGATCTGAAAGATGCCTACTTATTAGTGATGGCCGGTTCGTGAACAAATCGTTCTTTTGAACCGGTTCTTTTTAGTCGAACCAGTACACTAAATCGGACTGAATCGTTAGAAACAGTTCGCGTCTTGCGTCAGCGCTAAACCACAAGTTACTAAAGTTACTCACTATCAGACATGCCTGACAGTCCCTCTGAATCAAAATAAACCAATATCCAGAAGTACATTTTATTCCAGTAA